TTCCTTTCTGGAATGCTGGGCCTTCCGTCTAGCTGGGTCACACCTCCCACTTTGAATACACAGCCTGGGGCACCCAAACTCCTCCCTGCAGCCTTCTGGCACTTCCCTGGCAGGCGTGACCCTGCTTCTCTGGCTCCTGCCCACCTGTTAGTGCCGGTGACTCTCGATGACACTGATGTTTACCCATCTGCCTGCCCTCCTCCCATCCTTCCCTCCCTCTTTTCTGTTATGTTCAGTACCTGTCAATCAACATCCGCAAGCTCGATGCAAGTTATACTGGGACCTCAGGAAAATATTCCACTGGTTTCTCAGGTAGAATACATAAAAACAAGAGCAGAGCCCAAAGTTCTGGCCTGGGAAATGGATTAGGTTTCCTTTTAAGGTGTAAACTAAATAGTTTTAGTAGTGCTTCTCATATATTACTCATGTACAGTACAACACGCTAAAGAACATTATTAAAAACCAACGAACCAGTATCTTTTTCTTCCAACAGTTCCAAATTAACCAACCAGTATCTTAATGCAACAACGTATGTTTTGAAACGTACACATTAATCAAAGCAGTGGACAAACTGTGTTTCTTCTTATTATAGCGAATTTTATCCACAATCAATTTTTTTCTGTTTGACAAGCAATAAAAACTTCAAAGACTTTATGTATTTACATCCAGTGTATCCAAATACTATATTCAGAGACAGTTCCCTTGTTTTAAACTTTTATTGAAATTTAGCAGAAAAGGCTGAGCCACAGTGGCACACACCTGTAATCCTAGGACTTGGGGCTGAGGCGAGGAGAACTTTGCTTGAGGAGCAGGAGTTCAAAACCTGTCTGGGTAACAGCAAGACCCTCTCTCCACAAAAAATAAAGAAATTAGCTGAGACATCGATGGCGTGCACTGTAGTCCCAGCCAGCTTGAGAGGCTGAAGTGGGGCAATCTCTTGGAGCCCAGAGTTTGAGGTGCAGGGAGTTTGACTGACCACTGCATGCCAGCTTGGGCACATCAGGGAGGACCTTGCCTCAAAAAAAATATATATATATATATATATATAGCAGATAAATGCACACAAGTGTATGGCTCATTGAATTTTTACAAATTGCACACACTCATGTAACCAGTACCCAGATCAGGAAACAACTTAGCAGCACCCTAGAAATCTCCCTGGCATCCCCTCCCCATCAGCACCTTGTCTCCCTCCTGACCTTGCCCTGAAGTTTGTTGTGTAGTGGATGGAGTATTGGGAGTTGGACAAATACAGTTCTAGATAAACCTGTAATCACTAACTACACACCTTCACTTTTATACTTTGAGGCAGGTCATAATTAGACGACTTTTTTCACGGAATTTTGCTTCCCTTGGGTTGCACTTACACTTTACAATAAACCATAATAGCCTATATTAATAGCAACAAAATTTACAGAGCAATTACCATGTGCCAGGCCCTGTGCTAAACTTTTTACTTATCTCACTTAGTCCTGACAACAACCCTAGGAGGCAGGTAAGTCTCCTCACTCCATAGGTGAGACAGTGGAGACTCAGAGGAGAGGTTTGGTAAGTAACTTGCCCAGCACCTGTCTCTTAGCCATGACTCCTGAAGTCAGTTAACTCCACTGTATTGTTACAGTCATGAGAAATACCTGTAGGAACAAATGGACAAAACAAAATAAAACTGGTAGGCCTGGTATGGTGGCTCTCGCTTGTGATCCCAGCACTTTGGGAGGCCAAGGTGGGAGGATCGCTTGAGGCCAGCCTAGGCAATATATAGTGATAGCCTGTCTCTACAAAAAATAAAAATAATTAGCCAATCATGGTGGTGTGCACCTGTAGCACAGCCATTTCAGGAGGCTGAGGCAGGAGAATTACTTGAGCCCAGGAATTTTGAGGTTGCTGTGAGCTATGATGATGCTATTGTCCTCTAGCTGGGGTGACAGAGTGAGACCCTGTCTCAAAAAAAAAAAAAAAAATTGTGAAGTCATCCTGGACTAACCAACTGACTCAATGTAATCACAAAGGTCCTTAAAATTATTTTTATTTATTTATTTATTTTTTTTGAGACAGAGTCTTGCTTTGTTGCCCAGGCTAGAGTGAGTGCCGTGGCGTCAGCCTAGCCTCACCCGAGCAACCCAAACTTCCTGGGCTCAAGCGAATCCTCCTGCCTCAGCCTCCCAGTAGCTGGGACTACAGGCATGAGCCACCATGCCCGGCTAATTTTATATATATTAGTTCGCCAATTAATTTCTTTCTATTTATAGTAGAGATGAGGTCTCGCTCTTGCTCAGGCTGGTTTCGAACTCCCGACCTCGAGCGATCCGCCCGCCTCGGCCTCCCAGAGAGCTAGGATTACAGGCGTGAGCCACCGCGCCCGGCACTTAAAATTATTTTTTAAGGCCAGGCACAGTGGATCACACCTGTAATCCTAGCACTCTGGGAGGCCAAGGCGGGAGAGTCACTTGAGCTCAGGAGTTCAAGACCAGCCTGAGCAAGAGTGAGACCTCGTCTCTACTAAAAACAGCAAAATTAGCCAGGTGCAGTGGCTCACACCTGTAGTCGCAGCTACTTGGGAGGCTGAGGCAGGAGAATCCCTTGAGCCCAGGAGTTTTGAGGTTGCAGTGAGCTATGATGATGCCACTGTACTCTAGTCAGTGTGATGGAATAAGACTCTGTCTCAAAAAATAAAAATCTTTTTAAAAGTAGAAACTGATATATCAGCTACAATTTTTAATCTTCTACCTAGCTAGTGTCAGGTCTATCCACAACTGTAATTAATTAGTCCTTTGCACATGACCAGTGATTGCCCTTCCTTGCTCTTTATCTCTGATAAGGATCCCATCTCAGGGAATTCAGCAGGAGCTCCATGTCTTGAACTTGCTGTACCCACAGCCTCTCACAGATGGCCCTGGAGATTTTCAAGTGGAGGGCCATTCTAACCTTCCAGCTCTCTGGCCCTAACGTATTTCAAATCTTTGGGCAAAATATAGTCTTTCTTTTTTTACCCTCTATAAAATATCCCAAGGCCACAGGGGAAGTGGAAATAGAATTGTGTGGGCCAGGCAAGGTGGCTCACGCCTGTAATCCTAGCACTCTGGGAGCGGGAGGCGGGTGGATTGCTCCAGGTCAGAGTGTTCAAAACCAGCCTGAGCAAGAGCGTGACCCTGTCTCTAACTTAAACAGAAAGAAATTAATTGCCAACTAATATATAAAAAATTATGCTGGGCATGGTGGCACATGCCTGTAGTCCCAGCTACTGGGAGACTGAGGCAGCAGGATTGCTTGAGCCCAGGAGTTTGAGGTTGCTGTGAGCTAGGCTGACGCCACGGCACTCCACTCAAGCCTGGGCAACAAAGCAAGACTCTGTCTCAAAAAAAAAAAAAAAACAACAAAAAAAAAACAGAATTATGTGAGTGATGGTAACATTTTGAAAGCAGGAGATTACAGAAACTGGCAGAGAGGAAGGGCCTGTGGTTAATTCCCTTTGGCTTTCCACCCCTTCCTTGGTGCAGCTGAGCTCATGCCTCTGGCATCTGAGCAGAGGCTGTGGCTCCAGGGCCCACCTGCCCCTGGATCCCTCTCTCCTGCTCACTATTCCCAGTGTCCCACAGCGAGACGTTTCCGTTCATTCACAGGCCAGAGGCAGCTGTGGGGGAACTGCTGGGAGAGGTTCTCACTCCAATGACACTTGACTGGAGTCCTTCATAGCTCACGGACTATGTAAAATACGTAAAAGCAGAGCTGCTCTGGTGACTGGAAGGCAGGAACCCAAAGGCCTCTCCTGGGTTGGACCTTTGCCCCACCTTGCCAGTCCCTGAGGCAGCTCAGGAATTTTGGGGCTGGTCCAGGGAATGTTTTGAAAGCTAGATGTGTGTGAGGGGAAGAGTGCTGGTCTGAGTTTCCACATGAGCCTTCTCAGAAGGAATTGTCGTGGCTGGACCTGGCAACTGGCTTTCCGGAGAGCTCCTCCTGTCATCCTGTGCTTTCTCTCAGCACAGGCTGCTCTTACTGGGAGAAATCACAGTTTCACCCACCTCCACAGGATCTGGACCTTTCATCTGTTAAATAGGGAGTGAGACCTATTATGCAGGGTTCCTTGTTGCAACCAAACCAGATAAAATACATAAATTAGACGCTAAATAGCGACGCGTTTCACTTAGGGCTGAGGGCGGCTGTTTAAACCTGTTAATCTCTATTTACCCTTGTTACATAGATGAATACCCCGAGGCGGCTTGAGATGAGGGTCTGTTGGTATGGAGCTGGGACTCCAGTCAAGGTTTTCTGCCACTTAAAGTGCTTTTCTCTGGTTGCCAGGTGTGGTAATACTTCACCACCACTACATCCTCCCTCAACTTCTTCTCCCCTGCACCCCTCACATGTCTTCATTTCCTGCGTGCACAGTTCTGGGTCATTGGAGAGGAACACCATTGACGCTTATTCATTCAACAATCAGGCTGTGGTTGTGCTGTGGTGGCAGAAAATAAAAAGCAAAACACTCTTTTCCTCTTAAGTGCATTCCAGCTGAGGATCCATTTTCGAAAACGCTGCCGGAAAGAACCCAAATAACTCCAATGCCATGTGATACATGCCAGGTGGAGGTGAGTTCAAAGGAAACAACTTGATGGAAATACTAGAGAGGGCTGGGGAGAGCCCAGGATGGAAGAAGGTGCAACCTCAGGGAAACAGGTTTAAACAGCCGCCCTCAGCCCTAAGTGAAACGCGTCGTAAAGGGCCCTCTCGCTCCAAGTCGCCAGGGCCGCGCAGGGCGACAGGCGTCCTCCGCCTCCGGGAGGCAGGACGCACGCGCCCGCAGCCGGGTCAGTTCTAGCCGCGTCCCTGACGGAGCTCCTCCAGCCGCCAGCACGAAGGCAAGTCCCACCCCTCGTCAATGGTTGGTCTGAAACAAACAGGCGCTTGAGACGTCCTCATACATTATTGGTTAGTGCTGCTGTCTGTCTGAGGGCAGAGGCCTCTGGGAAATGTAGCTCCGCGAATACAGAGTGCATCTCGGTCTCCGCTTCCGCTTCCGCTTCCCGTCCGGTGCCCGGGCTTGGGGCTCTAGGTTCCAGTGTGGTGCTGTGGACGTTGCGTGGCTGCGGAGAAGGTGCCACTGCGCCCAGTCGTCCGTATTTCCAGGGCTTCGGCGGGCGGGAGCGGCTGTCACCTTGACCCCGGGCGGCCCCCGCCGGGTGGGTGTGGCCGGGCCGCGAGCCGGGGTCCGGCCGCCTGGGTTCAGGCCCGGAGTGAGTCCCTGCGAGCGGACCCGGGGCAAGATACGGTCCTCCTGCTGGCGGCGCCCTCTTTCCAGCCACCCGCTGGGCCCGGAGAGGACGTTCGTGGCTCTGTGGCCGCCGAGGCGCCCCAGTCCCCAGGGCCCGCGTTTGACCTATAAAGCTTGCAGAGAAGGTCGCCCGAGGAGCAGAGTAGCCTTCCAGAGTAAGTCATGCTCTGTGAGCTGGTCACGCAGTTCACGGTCAGAGGGCTGAGCCAGTGTCCATTTTCCCGCCATAAACCAGCTGCGTGACTTTGAGCAACTCCCTGGGGGTCTCTGGAGCCATGACTGCTTCAGGCCTAAGATCCTTGAACCCAGAGTATCTCTTAACTTTCCTCCCAATTCTAGCATCCCGTCAGTCTGTTTTTATTACTCTCTTAAAGGTTGTAACCATAACCAGGGTAAATCTCCTTGTTTGGGAGAGAGAGTTCTGATGTCAGGGCTGAGGAATCCAGAACGGGGCGCCCAAGGCTGAGAACCTAGCCAGAGGTGAGGGCAGTGGAGCAGCTGGAGCATTTGAATCTCTGAAATTTAGAGCCAGCGCCACCCCAGTGCTGCTACCTTAGGTGCCTTCTCAGACTTGTGCCAGACATTTACTTTGCAACACTCTGTAGTTCTGAAGACCAGTGGCTTGGGAGGGTGGGCAGTTTATTGTCCTATACGTGATCTCTATCAGCCCATTGGCATTCTTCAGTGGATAACTGTCCTTTCTTCAGCCTTAAGATGACTGCCATGGAAACACAGATTCAAGCTCCTCTACTTTCTGACCATATTAGCAGCCCTTGACCACTCTTAACAAACTTCTGGACTGCCTCCCCAGTGACAGAGGGCACCCAGGCATGGAGTGGGGTGGGGACTGGAAGGTTCTCTTCTCAATCCTGCTAGGCTAATATTTGTGATTTTCAGTAGAGTTCACTTTGTAATGTGTGTCTCTGACTCCAGAATTTCAAGTTCCACTTAGTGATTCCTAACTGAAGATGGCTTCCAAGTGAGGCAACGGAAGAGACTTGAGCTTCACGGTATAGTTGCAAGGCTTTTTTTTTTTCCTGAGCTGAACAATGGCTGTAGCTGTGGACCAACAAATCCAGACTCCACAAGTACAAGGTCTTCAAATAGTGAAACAGGAAGAAGATTCCCACTGGGAGCAGGAAATTTCCCATCAAGAGAATGACGCTGACCCAGAGACATCCTGCCAGAACTTTTGGCATTTTCGCTATCAAGAAGCATCAGGACCGCGAGAGGCCCTCAACCAACTCCAGAAGCTCTGTCACCAGTGGCTGAGACCAGAAAAGCATACAAAAGAACATATCCTAAAGTTGCTAGTCCTAGAACAGTTCCTGACTGTCCTTCCCCTGGAGACCCAGATCTGGGTTAGACAACAACATCCAGAGAGTGGCGAGGAAGCAGTGGCTCTGGTAGAAGACTTACAGAAAGAGCTTCGAAGACAGACGCTGCAGGTGAGATATAAGAACATAGTTCTGATGGCCGGGCGCAGTGGCTCATGCCTGTAATCCTAGCACTCTAGGAGGCCGAGGCAGGTGGATTGCTCCAGGTCAGGAGTTCGAAACCAGCCTGAGCAAGAGCGAGACCCCGTCTCTACTATAAATAGAAAGAAATTAATTGGCCAACTAACATATATAGAAAAAACTAGCTGGGCATGGTGGCACATGCCTGTAGTCCCAGCTACTTGGGAGGCTGAGGCAACAGGATTGCTTGAACCCAGGACTTTGAGGTTGCTGTGAGCTAGGCTGATGCCACGGCACTCCACTCAAGCCTGGGCAACAAAGCAAGACTCTGTCTCAAAAAAGAAAAACAAAAAAAAAAACATAGTTCTGAGTAGTTAAAATAGATGAATGTGAGAGATAGAGCCACCTTGGGTTTCCAGCAGTGTAGGAGACATGCAGTAATTTGCTATTTGTGTCAAACTAGAATTTGCTTATTCTGTGGTCCAGGTAGCTGCAGCTTTCTTTTCAAGTTTGGACTGACTCTTCAGAGAATGTGTGACATTGGCTGCTTTGAGTGTTGGTCCCTGCCATTACAGAAGAGAATTGTTTAAAATGGCTTGAGCATCACTCTGAGCAAGGAGGAACACAGCATGACAGGAATCTGTTTTTGGAGAACAGCTCTCATTCTGCAGCACCCAGCTGGAAGCAAAGGCTTCACTGGTCTTTATTGATATAATTAAACCTATTGCAAAATAGCTGAATTATTGGTTGGCCCTATGTGTTTTACCTAGGTGTTGGCAGGGCAGGTAGGAGCAGCCCCAGGAGAGCTAGGTGGCTAGGTTGCAATGGGCAGGCATATCTCCATGAAATATTCCACACACCACACTCCTTACTGCTGCTGCAGGGATTTACATATGACTGGCTTTCTCTTTTGCTTCTTTGGGTCTTGGGATGTTTAAGTTTTAGTTCCTACAGAATTTTGATGACTTCCAGTCCTTAAATAGGGACAGGATGTGCTTGCTCTCAGAGAAGAGGGAATCCTCAGGATCAGTACTGAGTTCTATAAACATCCATCCAAAGCAAGCACAGAAAGAATTCATATGTCTGTTCCAGGCAGTGGTGAAGAGCTCACAGGCAGAAGCAGATGAACAATTGAGCCACAGCCCCAAAATAGAACCCCAATCCTTCCATGACAGCGGTAAGAAATACTAATAGCAGTGTGGGGAGGAAGGAGGGATCCTTCTGTGGGGAGGGCATAAAATTACCCTGAGTGCAGAAAGTGGGAACTCCCACTTTCTTCCACTTGGAAGATGTGGCATGTGAACTGAGGCTGACCGCATGAATCTGTGAGATCTTAAATAGGTATCCCCAAAGGGAAAAAGGACCTTGGTTGGCGTGTTTTATAAAACAACACAGGGGAGCCTGTGGCACCTTTCCTTATGTGATGGAGAGATTACTGGTCCTAGTAGGAATAGATTTTAGGCCTGGTTAGTGGGAAGGATACAAGGTAGGTTTAAACTAAGGTGCAGTAATCCTTAAAACAGGTAGGTGTCCCCAAACAAAAACTAAAAAACAAAATTATAAAACCCTGGCTGTCAGTACCTGGATGGATATAGAAGGGAAAACCTAGAAACTTCATCTTAGAAATGTATCATTTTGGGCCGGGCGAGGTGGCTCACGCCTGTAATCCTAGCTCTCTGGGAGGCCGAGGCGGGCGGATCGTTCAAGGTCAGGAGTTTGAAACCAGCCTGAGCAAGAGCGAGACCCTGTCTCTACTATAAATAGAAAGAAATTAATTGGCCAACTAATATATACAAAAAATTAGCCAGGCATGGTGGCGAATGCCTGTAGTCCCAGCTACTTGGGAGGCTGAGGCAGGAGGATTGCTTGAGCCAGGAGTTTGAGGTGGCTGTGAGCTAGGCTGACGCCACGGCACTCACTCTAGCCTGGGCAACAAAGCGAGACTCTGTCTCAAAAAAAAAAAAAAAAGTATCATTTTGGATTTTTAATAACCTATGATAGGTCAAAGCAAGTACTAAGAGAAGGAAGAAGACTCGTCTGTTTCTGAACTCAGCTGGGCCAGTCCCCAACAGGAGTTGAGAACCACGTACTCTAATGGCTCCTTTCTCTCCCCCCAGCCCTGCCTGGTGCTCAGGCTCTGGGAATTCCTACAGAGAAGAGCTGTGGTGGCCAGGGGATGGTGAGTAGCTCCCAGGTGAGCCAGACTTTACTCAGGTCACCTTTTACTACAGAGTGGGCTCTCTGCAGCCAACTCTCTTGATTCTCAGAAATTCCAAAAGAGTTTTACCCAGTGAGGAAACCCAGTAACTTTACAGATTAGGCTCCAGAATTCCATCAGCCTGCAAAAGGTCACCCAAATCTCCTTATTTATGATAAGGCAGTGCCACAGTGTGGTAGTGAGGGATTAGATTAAACTTATTCTTTTCCTTGACCCTGAAACTGTCAGATTATATTGATTTGTTTGTTTGCCTTAAAAGTACTGGTTGCTTCTTTCATTCTACTTCTGGATCTTGTTCACATGGCATGCAGTATTATGTTGTGAGGGGAAAAACAAAAAGCTTCAGAGACAGATAGCCCTGAGTTCAAATCCTAGCTATGACCTGTACCAGCTGTGTAACTTCCATCAAGCCTGAAAAGCGGCTGTCTCACTGCACAGGTGTTCAGTAAATGTTAGCTTATTTCTTTTCTTTCTCTCCTCCTGTGCCCTCCTCCTGCCCCCTTTACTGCATTTGAAAGCCAAAGAGAACTCACTTTTGTATTTTTTCTGTTTTGTCATTTGCCCTATGACTCAGGCATTATAAAGGCATTTGGTCCCAAGGCTGTGTGTTTTGAGGAGGGCTGTTATGTCTCCTCAGGAGCTGATGACATTTGGCGATGTGGCTGTATATGTCTCCCAGGAGGCACCGAGGAAACTGGAACCTGGACAGAAGAACCACCTAGAAGTAATTTGGCAGAACTCTACAAAGGGAGTCTTGCTAGGTAAGAATGACTTTTTCCTTTACAGTCAAAGTTAGCCATAGAGTTTCTGTAGTATTCATTACTCTGCACCTTTTCTGGGTTGAATGTTTCAAATCAATTCCTTCCTTCAGTCTTTTTTTTTTTTTTTTTTTTGAGACAGAGTCTCACTTTGTTGCCTAGGCTAGAGTGAGTGCCATGGCGTCAGCCTAGCTCACAGCAACCTCAAACTCCTGGCTCAAGCAATCCTTCTGCCTCAGCCTCCCAAGTAGCTGGGACTACAGGCATGCGCCACCATGCCTGGCTAATTTTTTTCTATATATATTAGTTGGCCAATTAATTTCTTTCTATTTATAGTAGAGACGGGATCTCGCTCTTGCTCAGGCTGGTTTCGAACTCCTGACCTCGAGCAATCCGCCTGCCTCGGCCTCCCAGAGAGTTAGGATTACAGGTGTGAGCCACCGCACCCGGCCCTTCCTTCAGTCTTGTTTGAAAGAAATATGGAAATCCAATACCATTGTCAGTGTCACAAAGGATGAGTTTAACGAGTCCAGAAAAGATATCAGATTGAAAGCTCATCTTAGGGAGACGGTCAGTTTAGGTGTGTGCCTGAATTTTATCTGTTACAAGATAGATGAACATGGATATATAGTTATGGATTTGGGCCTGAATTTGTTTTCTTGTTCTTCTCTCATGATCCTTTATAGTATTTTCATTAAGCCTTCCCAAGAATCCCCCTAGACTTTTAAAAAAATTACTATCTTCTCCCCCTGACATATAAAATGGTTGGGATTAGATTCACCAAACCATTGCATCTTCTGTTTGTTTCCCTGCAAACAGATTTTCCAATCCACAGGCCCAGTGTGAGCTCCCATGTGGAACTGGAGGAAAAACCACAGAGCTCAGATCCTCCGCACTCCGGAGGGAAGAGGAGTGTGAGAGACTGCTCAGTGGGTGGGCTGAGAGTCAAGCCTGGCCAGGTGCCAAACTGGAGAAAAGCCAAGACCTGGGATGGGCTGGAGTGGCAGGGCCCAGAGGATGAAAAGGGGGAGGAGTACACTGGGGCTATGAGGAAACCAAGATTTTTCTGGGAATTCTCGGTGAGAGTCCTGGATCCATGAAAAACTCTGCACCTGTCATTGGAACCGCCAGGTGTACCGGACTGTGGCAGAGCAGCTGCGAGAGCATGGCTTCCTGCAGACCCTGGAGCAGTGTCACTACTGGTTCAAAAACCTCCAGACCTTCCAGACTGGCCTGGGAGCGGGGCGGGCAGCCGTGAGGGAGCCTTGGCGGTCTCGGAGGCGGCAGCGGGTGCCTCAGCTGTCCAGCCTGCCGAGAGGGGAGCTGCCGCAGCATTGGGCCCATGGGGGGCCCCGGGAGCCCAGCTGAGGGGCAGCCTGCCTGCGGCCCTGGCGCCACCAGCCTGGGAGCTGATCAGGCCTTCGGTGAGCGAGTTGTCGCGAGCCGTGCGGACCAACATCCTATGCACTGTGCCTGGCTGCGGCAAGATCCTGCCCAACAGCCCCGCGCTCAACATGCACCTAGTCAAGAGCCACCGCCTGCAGGACGGCATAGTAAATCCAACAATAAGAAAAGATTTGAAAACCGTACCAAAATTCTACTGTTGTCCAATTGAAGGATGCCCTAGAGGCCCCAACAGACCATTTTCTCAATTTTCTCTCGTAAAACAGCACTTTATGAAAATGCATGCCGAGAAGAAGCATAAATGCAGTAAGTGCAGCAATTCGTATGGCACGGAGTGGGACTTGAAGAGGCACTTGGAGGACTGCGGCAAGACCTTCCAGTGCACATGTGGCCGTCCCTACTCTAGCAGAACCGCGCTGCAGTCCCACATCTACCGAACTGGCCACAAGATCCCCGCAGAACACAAGGATCCACCTAGTAAGAAAAGGAAAATGGAAAACTGCCTGCAAAACCAGAAGTTGTCCAGTAAGACCGTTGAACCATTGAGCAACCAACCAGTCCCTACACCAGACACTCAAGAACTAGAAGCTTCAGAAATAAAGCTAGTAGCACCTTTCGAAGATTCCTGCGGCTCTAATGCCAGAAAGCAGTCGCTTACTACGCCTCCGAAATATCCTCAGAAGTTGCTTTTACCAAAGCCCGAGGTGGCTTTGGTTAAACTACCCATGATGCAGTTTTCTCCCATGCCTGTCTTTGTGCCTACAGCCGACTCCTCGGCCCAGCCTGTGGTGTTAGGTGTGGATCAGGGCTCTGCCATGGGGGCTGTCCACTTGCTGCCCTTGTCGATAGGAACCTGATCCTTGGCCTAGATTCAGAGGCTTACTCTCTTAAGGAGAGCCTACCTCTTTCCAAGATTGAGCCAGTTAGTACAGGTATTCAAGTGAACTTGGGTAAAAGTCCATCCACTCCTTCACAGGAACTTGGGAACACATGTCAGAAGAACAGCATTTCTTCAACCAATGTACAGACAGATCTGCCTTATGTCTCAGAAAACCTTATACCTTCTACACAGTGGGCTAGCCCTGATTCCTCTGTGTCGTCTTGTTCCTAGACTGACTTGTCATTTGATTCTCAAGTGTCCCTTCCCGTAAGCGTTGACACTCAAACGTTTTTGCCCAGCTCTAAGGTAACTTCGTCTGTTGCTGCTCAGACTGATGCGTTTACAGATGTTTGTTTCCAGTCAGGTGGGATCTCCAGAGAGACTCAAACCAGCAGGATGCGGAGTCCGACCGATGACCCCATGCAGACGGACCAAGCTGGAATGTGCAGAGACATTTTTGAGAGTGTTCATTCATCGTAAAGTGTTGCTACTGACAATATCACAAGCAGCAGTTTAGTAGCAGAGACAGTAACTCATGGTTTGTTGCCTCAGAACGACCCTAAGACTTTAAATCAAGATATTGAGAAATCTGCATAGATATAAACTTCAGCGCACAGAATGGTATGCTTCCTTCACAGAACATGACGGATAATCAGACCCAAACCGTGGATTTGTTAAGTGATTTAGAAAACATCTTGTCAAATAATCTGCCTGGTCAGACGCTGGATAATCGTAGTCTTTTGTCTGACACGAATCCTGGACCTGACACCCAGCTCCCATCTGGCCCAACCCAGAATCCCGGAATAGATTTTGATATCAAAGAGTTCTTTTCAGCTTCAAATATCCAGGCTCAAACTGAAGAGAGTGAACTTAGCACCATGAATGCTGAACCAGTCTTGAAATCACTGGACAGAGAGACGCAAACTGACTTCTTACTCGCAGACACCTCCCCTCAGTCCTATGGATGCAGGGGAAATTCTAACTTCTTAGGCCTTGAGATGTTTGACACGCAGACACAAACAGAATTAAACAACTTTTTAGACAGTAGCCCTCATCTGCCTCTGGGAAATATTCTGAAACACACCAGCTTTTCCATGAGTATGGATTCGTCTGACACAGAGACCCAAACTGAAGGAATTTGCACTGCTAAAAACATACTTGCTCTAGAAAGTAAAGTTCAGTTGAACAGTGCAGAAACACAGACCATGAGTTCTGGTTTTGAAACCCTGGGGAGCTTGTTCTTCACCAGCTATGAAACTCAGACAGCAATGGATGACTTTCTCCTGGCTGATTTGGCCTGGAACACGAAGGAGTCTCAGTTCAGCTCTATAGAGACCCAGACGTGTGCTGAACTGCACAGAGTCTCCAACTTCTAAAAGTGGAGTCCGTGTATGGGATGGCGTTTACCATTTCTTTCTGCATTTGGAAAATGGGGAACAGGGACAGCAATATTAATTCTGTTGAATGTAGTCGATGATGCAGTTGATTTGATTCTTTGCAGTTCTTGCCTTTTGTACTTATAAACATGAAATTTGTGTATAAATGTGAGTGTATTATAAAGTGTAAGATGTTGATCTAAAAATAATTGTTTTTGTGTTGCCTACATTTGCCCTTTTACAGCTAGTCTTTCCATCTTTTAAAAAAAAATGTATTTCACACCTATAAAACCTATATAGCCATTTAGCTGAAACCAAGCTTACCAGGTACTAGGGTACAGACTTCTCAAATCTTCAAAACATTTTAGTCGCATGTAACATACTTAACTTAAATTGCATGTAAAATATAATTGACAGTGCTTGTTAGAAATTCCTGTTTCTTGATAGTAATATCTAGAAGATCTGATGCTGCCACCATCAGATTTAAACAACAGTGCTTCTGTGGTTTAACACTCTTGCTACCTGCAGTTTCTTCTACTTTGACATCTCTTTTTCCGATTTGAAAACACCAAGGAAAACTACAGCTGTCTTTAGCTTTTTAGGTAGTTTTCATGTAGCCAATGCCATCCCTCTACATGAGCTCTTATTGATACAAATATTAGTGTGTGGTACTTTCCTTATAAGAAGTTCGTTGCTATAAAATTACTGCCTCTAGAAAGAGCAGCAAGCATAGTGTAAATAATAACCCTGCTAAATAAAAGTCATCCAAAAAGTTCCATCCAATCGTGGAAACACAGGGTGACTATGTAGTTCGTCCTGGAATGCACTTTATGATCATCCTGTCTGCTTTCCATGATAGGCCGGAGTGGAGCCCTGAAGCTATTTCCCAAAGTGCACCCACAGGCTGGATCTGAGTTTTGTCACTCTCAGTGTTAAATAAAAAGTGAGAAGTGAAAAGGACATTCCCCCCCTAGATTTCAACACTTTGCACTTCTACTAAGCTTGATAGGGCAAGAGTGTAATCTACAATTTTAAAGTGAATTTTTCTTCCATCTGCCACTTGTTATCTTTCCCTTGAATAAGAAAAGACATTGGTCTAGCAAGGATATTGTTTGTGCCTTGAGGCTAGCAATTATAGAATAGATCCATCTAAAATATGGTATTCTGCATTTTGTTGCTTTATTTTTTAAAAGAGACTAATAGCACAGTCTTCATCAAAGAAAACAAAGGTGAACCTATTGTTTCAATAAGAACATTTACTATGTTTTCAGATGGGAGCACGATCAAGTATGCTCTGGGGGTTTTCTGTATTTGGGAAATCCTGAATTCTTAATTGTTGGGCAACTTTCAGGCAGGTAAGCATCAGTGCAGCCTGTAAGTTCTCTAAGTTTACAAAAAAAAAAAAAAGCACACTCGTGCTGCTGAAGGCTAACTTCTCAAAATAAAACCTAAGAAGGGGACTAATGATTCATTAAAGCAAATTGATGGTTTTGCTACTAATTCTTATCCCATACATCTGATACAAAAGAAGTGCTGGTAATGGATAAATAATATATCCTAGGCAGATGAATTCAACCTAGTAGATAAAAGTTTGCTTTGGTCACAGTTGCCTATGAACATGGGTTTCAAAACAAACATAAAGCCTTATCTTAGAATTTCATTATGTTTTAGAACTGTCACTGCCTTAATGTTCAAACATCTATTTAAGTCCTCCAAATAAAGGAAAAATGCATGTCTGTGGCTTTTTGTAAATATATGTACAGCGATCTATGGCTTTAAAAAATAAAACATTTTGTTTCTGTGAAAAAAAAAACCTCCAGACCAACTAGCGCAAAGCCAGGAGCACCTACATGCCAGGCACCTGTGCCTTCTATGACAAGATGGATGCCCTGATGTGCCCACGGGTCACCACCCCCATTCCAGAGGTGGCAGGGGGGTCTGCCCGCGCAGCACGATGTGGAGCATGAAGAACTGCACAGGGCTTGCTGGCAGCAGGAGGTGGCGATGCTGGCAGAGGCTATGTTAGGAAGCAGGTCGGGGAAGCAGGGGCGGAACCTAGGCTGTACAGCGGCATCTTTGGAAGAAGGGCATTCAGAAGCCATGACAGGATTCTGAGGGGGAAGAACGGTGGATCCAAGAAGCATCCGGAAGCCCTGGTATCCCAGCCCTGTTTTCAGAGTCCTGCTGGTAAGTGCTACTGGTATCATGAGCAAGATGGGAGGGTCCCACTTATTAACAGAGTTTGGAGAGAGCCTCATCCCAAATAGTTCTCTAAGAAGTGACATTTGGGTTCAGGGCTCATTGTAATAGTTTGGAAAGGGCAAGGAAAGACTATGTACAAATGGAAGCTCCCTTTGTTCACTTGAGTAATTGAGAAAAAGGAAGAACGATTATTTAAGAATGTTTATAAGCCTAAAAATAAATATGTGCATATTGTTGGATCAAGTCCTGTCACAGAGGGAAAAACCCATTTGATTATTTTTCAGAAAATCACTAAAATGCTGTGGTGGGCATGGTGTCTTCTGCTATCTTCATTACAAAACAAACCAGTAGCATTGTCTTGGCTTAACCACTGTACCCTTTCCCCAGGTGTGCACTGGGGGTATGAAGAAATTAAACGTTTTCTTCTGAAAACTAGACCTTCCTGGGAGGTGCTTCCATTCTCATTTCACCTGCCACTTCCAGATATGAGAAGAGAAAGTCAATCACAGAACTCCATGTCCCTTCTTGCTTTTCCTTGAGCAGGACTTCCAGTTCCCCAGCCAGATGGGGTCACAAGGCTGCAGAGAAGTGAGGGGCTTTGGAATGTCGATCTTCAGGATTTGGAGGAGACTCAGAAAACTTCCTCTGCAGGTGGGAAGTGAGTGGGAGCTAGTACTCCACCAAAACAGTCACCCCAGGAGTTCTCAACATGGACAAGCCAGCGCTGAGAGAGGAACCCAGGCACTTAGCATTCCCAGCTCTGTGATGCTGAAAAGACAGGAGTTGGGAAAAGAACAGAGAAGCGGGCAGCACTCAGGAAAGCCTATTCCCCTAAGTTTAAACCTTAGTTACCTTGGGAAAAGATACAACTGAATTATGAGTGTTTATGATTTTCCCTTTATCTGAATTTTAATTATGATTAATTATCACTTAACCAGGCTAATAGAAAAAGTGATCACGGAAAACCCCAAATTAAAATTACAGGGATGGCGGGGCCCAGGTAGGCTATGGGTGTGTGCCGCGGCCACCACTGCCCTCTTTGGAGGCGCAGGTCGGGCAGGAGCCACGTTTGTGGTGTGCAGCATCGCGGCAGACCATGAGGATCTCATCCATGATGTCTCCTTCGACTTCCACAGGTGGCGGATGGTGACCTGCTCCAGCGATCAGAGCGTTAAGGTCTGGGATAAAAGTGAAAGTGGGGATTGGCATTGTACTGCTAGCTGGAAGACACATAGTGGATCTGTATGGCGTGTGACATGGGCCCATCCTGAATTTGGATAGGTTTTGGCTTCCTGTTCTTTTGACCGAACAGCTGCTATATGGGAAGAAATAGTAGGAGAATCAAATGATAAACTTCGAAGCCAGAGTCACTGGGTTGAAAGGACAACTCTAAGGATAGTAGGACATGTTACCAATGTGAAATTTGCTCCCAAGCATATGGGTCTTATGCTAGCAACCTGTTCAGCAGATGGTATAGTAAGAATATACAGGGCACCAGATGTTATGAATCTCAGCCAGTGGTCTCTGCAGCTTGAGATCTCACATAAGCTGAGCTGTAGTTGTATTTGTTGGAACCCTTCAAGCCCTCAGGCTCATTCTCCCATGATAGCTGTAGGACAATAGTCCCATGATAGGACAATAGTCCAAATACAACGGCCAAGGTTCAGATTTTTTAATATAATGAAAACACCAGGAAATACACAAAAGCTGGAACTCTTATGACAGTCACTGATCCTGTACATGATATTCCATTTGCTTCAAATTTGGGAAGATCTTTCCATATTCTAGCAATAGCAACCAAAGATGTGAGAATTTTTACATTAAAGCTTGTGAAGAAAGAACTTACTTCCTCTGGCGGGCCAACAAAATTTGAAATCCATATCGTGGCTCAATTTGATAATCATAATTCCCAGGTCTGGCGAGTGAGTTGGAATATAACAGTGCTAGCATCTTCAGGAGATGATGGCTGTGTATGATTGTGGAAAGCTAATTATATGGACAGTTGGAAGTGTACTGGTATTTTGAAAGGTAATGGGAGCCCAGTCAATGGGAGTTCTCAGCAGGGAAACTCAAATCCTTCCCTAGGTTCAAATATTCTAAATCTTCAAAATTCATTAAATGGATCTTCTGCTGGCAGAAAGCAGAGCTGAGTACAAGCTAACTGGAGTAACTTTGCTGTCTTGCTGTTTGTTGCATGCACACAGGAATGGAAAGCAAGCTCCTTTTCCCCTTCCCCAGCGCCACTTGACTTCTCCCAAGATACACCAGCAGCCTGCTTACTGCTAAATGCAGTCCAAAAGGCCTTTAAAAATACAGTGTATATCATTTTTGTGTACTAGTCAGTTTACTGACACTATTTGAAACTTTTAAAATATAAAGGAGAGGCTTTTTGTTGAGATGTTATCACCAAAACAATTTTTTGAAATGTTCCTGAAACTAACTTGGGTTTAAAAATTAAAAGGATTGTTACCATCCTTATGTAAGTAGTTGGAAGGAGGAAAAATATCACTTTATTTCATTTGGAGAATATTGGCATATTTCTTTTGTTTCCTAAAACAGTAAACTTTAAATGATGAATTTTTATACTTTTAATTTGAAAACTGAATAAATATTTTTTATAAAAAAAATTACAGTCAACCTTAGAATATTGGAGGGAGAATTTCTCATGGTTAAGATGAGCTCCTCTCCCTGGTGCAGCTCAGTCATTTTGCTGGAATTAGGGGATCTGATAAGTAGTACCCTTCTTCTCCTACCCAGATTCTTGACCAACTGCGACAGACATGAGTTAGACAGTGAGATCAAAATGGCAGCATGGGGCCGTTGGAGAATGTGACTTAGGTGTATGGCCACAGTGGACTTTCCTAATAATACTGTACCCAAGAATTGAGCAGATTGACCCACCCTGCCACAGGCAGCACCCTGTAGGGACAGAACCTTCACTGCTGATCTTCTGAGTCTTGAATACTCACGTCGTCATTAATCAAAGTCATTCCTCATACTCTAAGTAAGGGGACAGACAGAGGCCAGGAGATCTATTCTGGGGATGTAGAACTATTCTACAGAATGCTCCCTGGAAAGAAGCACCAAGAAGAGAAAGGTAGCCTTTTAGTGCTGGTTGCCAGTCCCTAGGTAGGTGGGCAAAGAGGAGGAGCCTCTGAGGAGCATTGAGCTGCTCTGGCTGAAAAAGAATGGGCCCAGAGCCTGCCTGCATCCTTTCCCCAGCCCTTTCCCAAATGACCTTCTTGTTTAGAAGCTGGGGAAGTGCTAGTCTACTGGTCTTAACCATGGTTCGGCCATATTCAGATTTGTTTGTTCCTGGTTAATGCAAAGTTGACTATGTTCTGTCAATAACTTGTTTTTAAGCATCCACTGAGGACCTCGTTCACATAGTTTCCATTCTTCTGAATTCAGAAAATGGGTTACATTTGCAGTTTCATTTCATTCTTTCAGATCTTGAAACAAGGGCTGAGAATGAGGAGAATTCAAGCCAGAACATTTCAGAGGAAGTAGAACTACCTGACGCATTATTAAAAAGATCCAGAACGAATGTTTCCCAATACCTTATTTGGAAGAAAGACTGGGAAAGTGAATATGGGGCAGAAAAGCAATGGAAAATATCCCTGGAAGATGGGCAAGAATCACTCTCTTCTCCAGAAAGGGACTTAGGTAAATTCATAGGTCTTCAGGGAACCTATGTAGGAGAAAAATCCAATATGTGCTTTGATTGTGGAAAAAATTTCAGCCAGAGCTCACACCTAGCTGTCCACAGATTAGCGCTAGTTGGAGAAAAGAAATCTTATAAATGTGGCCATAGTGGGAAAAACTTTGGCTGAAGCTCACACACAGTTTGCCATCAGAGAATCCACACTGGGGAGAAGCCCTACAAATGCCCCGAATGTTGGGAAAGCTTCAGTGATCATTCTAACCTCACAGCACACCAGAGAATTCACATGGCAGAAGCCCTATAAATGTGCAGAATGCTGGAAAAGTTTCAGTCAGAGCCTTGTTATGCACCAGAGAATCTATACAGGAGAGAAACCCCATAAATGTAGTGAGTTTGCGAAAAGTTTCACCAATAGTTCACACTTTAGCATACATTGGTGAACACACACTGGTGAAAAACCCTAACCGTGCCCAGAGTGTGGGGAAAAGTTCAGTAAGAGTTCCACCCTCACCAGCCATCAAAGGATCCACACAGGGGAGAAACCCTATAGATGTCTCAAATGTGGGAAAAGTTTCAGTGACTGCTCAAATCTCTTTACCCACTGGCGAATTCATACTGGAGAGAGACCCTATAAATGTGGAGAATGTGGGAAGAGCTTCAATCAGAGCTCTCATCATACACCAGAAAATCCACACAAGAGAAAAACCCTATGAATGTACTGAATGTGGGAGGCAATTGAACAGTTGTTCGCATTTTAGTGCGCATCGGAGAACTTGTGTGGCCGAGAGAGATTCTAAATGTTCCCAAATGTAGGAGAAATGTTTCGAAAGCATCAAGTCAGGCTGGGCTCAGTGGCTCACACCTGCAATCCCAGCACTCTGGAAGGCTTGGGTGGCAGGATCACTTGAGCTCAGGAGTTCGAGACCAGCACTGAGCAAGAGTGAGACCCCATCTCTACTAAAAATAGAAAAATTAGCTGGGCATAGTGGCGTGTGCCTATAATCCCAACTACTTGGGAGGCTGAGGCAGGAAGATCACTTGAGCCTAGGAGTTTGAGGTTACAATGAGCTATAATGACCTCACTGCACTCTAGCCTGGGCAACACAGTGAGATTCTGTCTCAAAAAAAAAGAAAGAGAGAGAAAAAGAAATAAAGCATCAATCTGAAAATACTAGGGAATCTATTCCAAAAAAGTGTTTGTCTTGCCTTTGATTCTATATCATGTCACCCACATGAGTTGAAAAGAGAGATTTTAGATCCCAGTCCAACAGACTTTATTTTCTCTCACTAAATACTCACTTGGCTTATGAAGTACTACTCAGGGTTTTCTTATCCATGCTGTTGAAGTGGGAGCCAATTTCCAAAGGATTCAGAGACTAGTTTTGAATTTGACTATGTCACCATCTCAGTGTGTCTTCATTGTGATTCTGTGCCTTAATTTTCACACCTATTAATAGGGGGGTAAGATTCTTGTCCCTGAGCCCCTCTCTCAAGGACAAAGGAGGCCCTGTCCTCCTGTGCTGATGACTTTAATGATGGTTGGGTCAGCTGCGGAGCCAGCAATATCTGGGTGGTTTCTTTTAAGCACTAGGCAGCTAGACAAGAGTTTATTAATAAAATTTTAAAAGCCTTCTATTCTCCCTGTGGGAGGATTGGGGCTCAGGACTTGTCTACATTTTCCCAAATTTCTTTCCTTTCCCTTTCCTTTTCGTTTCTTTTCTTTGACAGGGTCTCACTCTGTCACCCAAGTTAGAGTGCAGTACCACTGCAACCTCAGCGTCTTGGGCTCAAGTGATTCTCCTGCCTCAGCCTCCTGAGTAGCTGGGACTACAGGTGCATGTCACCAGGCTCTAATTTTTCTATTTTTTGTAGGGACAGGGTCTCACTGTTGCTCAGGCTGGCCAAATTGCTTTTTGAGATTTACATGGAGTTACTTGGGAAGAACGCATTCTATCATATATTTGGAGGAGGGAAAAGGAGAAACGTTGAAGACCAGTGCTTGGCTTTCTAAACCATAACCTACTCCTCTCAACATATTAGGTTGAACCATATGAGATTGCCATTTTTGATCTGTAAAACCAGCAATTTTATGATCCAATCTAATTAGAATTTCTGAGTGGCCAGACTGCTGTAGAGCCTTTCAGCTCATACTGTATCCTGAAATTGTGAGACTGGGTCTAAGAGATTGTGAACCAGGATAACAAAGTGGGTAAAGCGTTTTCTGTTTGTACATATGTCCAGAACAGTAACTAAGAACCACAGTATTAAGAAGTCTCCTAGTTAGAGGGTTTACCTCTGTCTCACCTGCCTCTGACAAGCCCACTGGTTCCCGTCTGTGCTCCTGTCTCCAGATCCTGGGGGGGAGGCCACGTGCAGGCCAACAGCGTCCCACGGATTCAGGCCCCTCTGTAAGAGCAGAGTCTTGCTAGGACTCTGACATGTAGAACTTATGGGGCTTGGAAATAAGTGGAACACAGTTTCTCTTTCTTATAACAGTTGCCTTTGTGTGTTTGATTATTTTTTTCCACAATCTTTCAGAAACCCATTAATTATAAAACAAAGCACAATCTATATGATTCTCCCTAATTAGATTTATAAAACAGGATTATTAGGTAATGAGTCTTTTTTAAAAAACATAAAAGAACTCGTTCAAACAAATGTCTGTCAAAAGTAGTCACTATTTTTGCCACCCCCCAAAAAACGTAGTCACTTTGATGGGCTGTGGACTTTTTATGTTGTTTGTACTATTCAACACATTCTTAGAGTTTTTCCTTAAGAACTATCTTCAAACCACCTCAGAAAGCCTCGTCTCCATGAGGCATTTCCAGGATGTAGAGTAGTTAGGGTCTTGTACATGGAAAGGGCTTAATAAATGCTGACAGGTGGCTCACACCTATAATCCCAGCACTTTGAGAAGCTGAGTTGGGAGGATTGCTTAAGGCCAAGAGTTTGAGGCCAGTCTAGGCAACATAGTGAGACCCCATCTCTACAAAAAAATTTTTTTAATTAGCAAGGCATAGCAGTACATATCTGTAGTCCTAGCTATCAGGAGGCTGAGGCAGGAGGATCACTTTAAGCCTAGGAGATCAAGGCTGCAGTGAGCTACAGTCATGCCACTGCACTCCAGCCTGGGGAGCAAGATCCTGTCTCTTAAGACAAAAATGTTGACAGAATGAGCCGGGCGCGGTGGCTCACACCTGTAATCCTAGCACTCTGGGAGGCTGAGGCGGGCGGATTGCTCAAGGTCAGGAGTTCAAAACCAGCCTGAGCGAGACCCCGTCTCTACCATAAGTAGAAAGAAAATAATTGGCCAACTAATATATATAGAAAAAAAATTAGCCGGGCATGGTGGCGCATGCCTGTAGTTCCAGCTACTTGGGAGGCTGAGGCAGAAGGATCGCTTGAGCCCAGGAGTTTGAGGTTGCTGTGAGCTAGGCTGACGCCATGGCACTCACTCTAGCCTGGGCAACAAAGTGAGACTCTGTCTCAAAAAAAAAAAATGTTGACAGAATGGACACCTTGTTTATCTAGCCTGGTATCCATCATGTCCATGAGACTTGGCTGTGCTCAATTTTTGCTTTCCCAAAATAGAATCCCTTCAAAGGATGTCAATTTGCTGACATTGAGAAGACTTTTTAAAGGGCCTTCTTGCAGATACTAAAACGAGAACAAATAAGAAAATAAAATAAAATAAAAGCGCCTGTTGTTGGAGACAGTGTTCAAAGAAGTATTCCAGAAATATGAGCTTAGAATTTTTTGCAAGGTCAGGAAATAAATCTGCTGTAGATTATTTAAAATGATTTCACTCTTTTAATGAGAATTCTTACTTAGGTGGAAATTCATCCTACTAATACCTGAGGCGTAGCTCTGCATTGTAAAAAGACTTTGGAAATAAGCAGATTCCTTTTTGGAATCTGCCATCACACTTCTTTGGAATGGAACAAGAAGATTCAAATAATATCCACACTATTTCATCTCACATGTATTTTTCCCACAGTGAAGTAATGGGAAAATTAAGCTGAAGATGTAAATATTTCATAAATATCTTACAATCCTTAGAGAGTATGACATGCTAGACAGCAGTGAGTTAAACTGTGGTTTAATAGTTACGTGGAGATGTTTCCCAATGAATCTCAATGTACTATGATTTTTACAGTGTTCTAATTTTGATTTGATAATGTAGTCACCCATTATCTTGCTCAAAAGTGTTTTGAGCTACCTTTTTGTCTACCACTGTACTCAGATGTGCAAAGCTCTGGAGGCTCTTGTTTTTAACTCAATTCAAAAGCAATCATGGCTTCAAAGTATCTGAACTAGACAATCGGTGGTGGCTTTTGTTAAGTTGTTTACTTAGAAATCTCTCAAGATAAAAATGATAAAAGTTGTAATTGGGAATGCATGAAATTCACTTATTATAAAAGTTGCAAGAGATGATATATTTAGTTAATCAAATTATGCACTGCAAAATTTTTATTGAAGAAACTCCTAGCAAAAAGACTGATTCTCATTTAGAGATAGCAGGAAACACTGGAGTTGGATTTCAAGACATTAATCCTAGCCAAAGCTGATGCAAGTGTATTAACCTATTGAATACATTAACTCCAAGTGAATCCTGTGAGTGAAATAGTCAAATGGAGAGGTTTTTTTTTTTTATCAAATTAATCATTAGATTTTAAGCTGTAGAGCAGAGATTTATGTGAGACTGATGTCTGCAAAGACTACAATAGGCCAGGATGGAGACTTGCAAATACCACTCCATGGTGAGCATGACCCTCTCCCAGTGGAGTCGCCCAGAACAAACTACTTGTGACAACTCTGTTCCACCCCAGAGAACGTGGCTTTTCTCCCTTTACTGCTTTACAGGGCTTTGGCTTTCTAGTCTC